TGAAAGAAATAAATAGAAACTGTGACCCAGTGACAATCTAGTCTCGCGTAGCCAGACCCATCCCCCTTTTTGATAATTGGACGGCGGGGGAAGGGTCTGGTGGAATGAGCAATGCCCACTCATTTTTGTTGCCACCAGACTTCCGGTGGCCCGACCAGAACCACGTGTTTTATTTATAGCATGCGTCATTATTCATCATCACTTAGACAAGAGCTAGAGCTGCTTGAGACTGTGGAGAAGTGCTATCGCTAGCTCGCTATGAGTTGCTTGTTTTGTAAGGCCGATGTGAAGAAAGGTGCAGGTAAAAAGAAAAGAAAACTCATCTTTGGGAAGAAGTCTGAGCATGTCTTAAGCATCCTTGATAGCCTGTGCTTATTTTATTATAATAGAAAGTTCTCTGATGCACAGCCAGTGAATCACGACGAGCGGCTTTGGGTCTGTCACAGGTGCATAGGAACTATAATGGATTTACCAGTACTTTTACAAAGAGTTGCTGATCTGAAGAATAATATCCTTTGCTTTGTAAAGAACAGTGGGCTACTACCAGAAGCTCGAGCAGAAGCTGCATCACTAATTCCACCTGCTGAATCTGATGATGTTGCCGCTTCAAGTGAGAATGAAGAATCCAGTCCAACAACACCCGCAGCAAGTGCTAAAGACAGCTCAGTTTTAGGCAAGAGAAAGAGATCAGATGGTTCTGTTGGAGTTGCTGTAAGCCACCATTTGTTAATACTAGTTTATATTCATAATTTATGCATCTTATCACATGATAGGTGGACATTGATTTTCCATCAAGCAAAAAAAGGATTCAGGTCAAATCACCATGGTCAAGTTTGAATGTGAGAAGGATACTCAACAAAAGTTATAATTCTCTTTCATCATCAATTGCTACATCAGATCGGACACAAAATGAAACTATAGCTTCACTTAGTTATTAGAAAGGAAATGAAAGATATTTGTTCCCTGGACCAAGCTTCAATTTTAATGGATGACGTGGAAGCCTTAAGGCATTTCAGCTGGGAGAGTATTTGGCTAGAGTTGAAGAGATATGTACCAACAATAGTCAAAGTTTTAGTTGGCATTCTATCAGATAGCAAAGAAGCACACAAGATCATTTCCTTGATTGTTTGCATGTTACTTAAAAACAGGTTTTCAAAAATGTCCCTATTGCAACGTGCCATTTCAATAATGCTATATGCTAATGG